GTGTGTGTGTGTGTGTGTGTGTGTGTGTGTGTGTGTGTGTGTGTGTGTGCTTATTATATATATATATATATATATACATATATATACGCATATATATTGGCAAGGTTATTTTCTGTATGTCGTAGCCGTATGTAAACCTACATACATGACCAATATGGATTTGATGATTGTATACTCATCAACATTATAATATTTATAAAATCGTCGGTACTAAATAAAGTCTCTCTGAAACGTTCAGAGCCGTACTCTTTCGAAAGATTAGTTTGAAGTCCAAGAAAACAACGCACACTGGGTTTCCCTCACATCACCGACAACTGACAACCAGACCCAGGCAATATTTTTCACCTACTTGCATAGCCTATCTGAGTGATTGATGTACGGATCCTATGACGACTAAAATGATATAATGACATACCTTTTTATTCAATCGATGGAAATGGCCAAACACCTCCGTCTCAACAGAGTTTTGTGTTTCATCATCAGAGCTCATTGTGAACTACCGTGTGACTCGGTAACTTCGGGTCGTTCTAATGGTATCTACTCTATTGAACTTGCAAGACGCGGCTTTTGTGGTGCTATAATACTGGTCTTTACGTCATTGATCCTTCGCTCTGTGTATCATAGAATGTTTGTTATTTTCATTGTCTATAGCAGTTCAACACCCCATCTGAAAAATGAACACGACACACCAACAAAAACACGCTCTCTGTTGATCACGTATTGATAATGGGAGGAAAGAGATGTACACAGTACTTCTAATAGTCTTCTATCAAGTTCTAAATGACAGAAAGATCTGATTTCGGGGTAAAACCAAACCAGAGCAAAACATGAATTTTTATGTTATTTTTATGTACTGAAAGTCTGAAACATACATAGTCCTCTAAAATGAACAACTAAAACCAAATTTATTTCATGTGGAAATATTAAAAACGAAATTTAAAAAATAGTCCTTCCGAAATAACCAAGTTCACTTCATAAAAAAATATATAAAAACGAAATTTATTCGGTATTATAAATAAAACGTTAGTTGTATGACTAGGTTTTTGCTCGCGCCAAATTGATTCTCTAAATATGGGCATACCACGAGTCATCATAATTAGAATGAGCTCCCCGCCTCGTACATTCATGATTTTTTTATAGAAAAACCCGAATATTTACAATGTACAGAAGTTTTTTATACCCCACCACATATTGTACTGTGGTCTATGACATAATATTATATGTATATTTACTATCATTCGCTTCTCCCCTCCCCCCGTGTAACATGAATGAGGTGATGTACTCAAATATAATACGCACTCACTCCAAGTCCACTATAGCTATCGAATTTTGTTTCACCTAATTCGACTTTCCACCTTGTTTATTCTCGTATACAAAAACCTGGATTATATCAATCGCGGACTTATCTATCTGGTGCGGGGATCGCTTACGAATACGCCTTGATCGAATAAGCCATGAACCATTGTATATCACCATGGTGCAACCGCAGCAGACTCTCCAATCTCTCATGGGATCAGACCCTCAATTCAGGATACTTACCGCGCTGCG